TGAAATGGAAGCAGATCACACCACTTTGTTTGATGATGAATTCTCGTCTTCTTTAGCACAAAGTGGGCTACTGGTTTTATTTTCATTTTATGCTGGGGCAGAGGTTTTAGAAATTCCAGACATTTTATGAGAAGTACTTGCAGGATAGAAATATCCCAACTACTGTCTCACAGTAAATTCCCCATGTCTACCTGAAAAAGGTAGGGAGTGCATTAGGAATTTAATGATTGTCAACAGTGTCATCATGTATCTTACTACTTTTTGTATAAATACCCTCTTAAAGACATTCCAGGCTACAAGGTAATAATGCAGAAATGTGCAGCTCATGATGTTAAATGCAGCAGTGGACAAGACTTGAGGATGATATATCTGTATGTACTTTTCCCTAGCAGCTCCTGAAGCAAATACATCAGTGGCTTAGGCAGTATTGGAGAGCAAGGGATCCAGTAGTGCAATTTCTTCTGCTTCGATGCTCAATTCAAGGCTTTGATGGGCATTTATGCAGGGTCTTGAGAGGGTGAAGCTGGCAAAGCTCTAAGAAACATCATGGTTTTCACAGTTCTAGAGCACACGGTGGGGAGCTACAATCATTTTCGCTTTTATTGGATACAGATGAGCCCCATCTTTGCACTGCTGCTCCTCTCTTCAGCTAGTGCAACCTCTTACGAATGCTATTAAAAATCAGGAGGGGTGGAAAATAAATACAGCTTTCAGACTGAAGAAAGAAATAGACTTTAGAAATTAAAACCAAGAAGATAGTGTTTTACCACTGAACACACTATAAATGCAAGTTAAAATTCTTTAGCTGTTAATCTGCTCACATCCATCTGCAGTGTGCTTATATGCTTCATGTAAGCTGAGCAGCTATTTGTTTTGCTTGTGGGTGATCCCAGTGCCTTGGCTTGCAGGGGAAAAAAAGCTTTTTCACAGAGGTGGAATACTTTTTATATTTTTCAAGAGCTGACAACAACATGATGACTTCTCTTGAAGAGATCTGATTAGCCATCATACACTGTCTTCTTAGAAAATACTTTATCTTTGTACTTAATCCTCCCCATCAGTAAGGATTTATGTTTATAAAGTGGGAAAATATTTACTGAAGGAAATTTAGTATTTAAATTACTGATCTCTATTTTGATTTGCAAAAAAAAAGACACAATTCAGCTTCTGCCTCCTGGCTTATATGCTATCTTGAGGGTGAACCAGGTTTGTTTTTTTACATGGCATGTGACAGACGAGCATAATTTGTCTGTGCTTGTACCAAACCATACACTTCAGTTACACTATGAGGGAATGTCTCAATTCTATCAAGCATAAGCAAGATATGTAGGACATAAAATTCAAGTCTTGTATACCACCCTGGTAAGTAACTTATCACAGGGAGATCACCTGCATGTGTAAGAATATGTGTGGATTTAGTAAACATTGTCACATCTAGAAAATATCCATTTTAGATTTAAAATGGACATAAAGTGTGCATATATACATATGTATACATATGTGTGTAACATGTCCATGTTATTTGTTGACAATTATCTTTTACATAAGTTATTAAAGAAAAGATTTTGGCAAAATGCTGAAGTCAAACTGATTAGTTAATAAAACTTGGTTACAAATAATTTTTTACTCAAGCATTTAGTATTTTGGCTAATCTAGGCTTGTTGCTGATATCTGCAAGTGTCTCTTGATGAGACCTGATGAGACTCTTGAAGTGACTCTGTGATGATTTAAAGGAAACAGAAAATAGAGTCACTAAGAGCTGCATTTGAGTCTGACTGGAGAGTTTGCAGTACCCAAGGAGAGTGAAAGGGCTAACAGCCACTCCAGCTCAGAGGGAGTACAACACAGCAAGTGTCCTGGTCTACTCACTGCACGCGTTTCCTTAGTCATAGATCGACCATATCGATGTTTTTATTTCATCCTTTAACTTAGGAGACCACGTGCCCTATAGTATTTTTTATGCTTGGGATAAAGCATAAGAATGTAGAAGTTGATTGGTAAAGAGCACTTTTGTGGTAAACTGTGATTGTGTTTCCCAGTTAAGGGTGAGCTAGAGGGGGAAAAAAAAAAAGCTACTTCATTTTTCTAAAACATTGGAAATTTGCAAATTATTCTGTAGCTGGAGAATACTCTAGAGTTGTTTTGGTTTTGGATTTAATTATGTGAGCTTAGAAAGAACAATTTATTTGAGTACCACCTCTCATCTTTTCAATCATATCCTCCTGTAAACCCATGCTATTTTCTTTATTATGATGCCGCAGTAGGATGGAAATGGGGATTTTGGTGGTTTTGAGCAGGTGCTGAGCTCTGAAATGTTCCTTTGAGTACATAATCTCAGATCCCAGTGACCCAGGAGGACACAGTAGGATTCCTGCACTGATCCATCAACGAGTGCCTTTATAACCGGCTGCCTTTGCCAAAATGATCTATTTAAATTGACTGGGTACCTTTATAATTTGTTTTTATTCTGATATCTTCTTTTTTTTTAGACTATGTAATATGTCATTTATATAGATAAAAAAGAAAGAGGTGCTATTTTATTTGTGAAACAGTTTTCCTTCCTTTTAAAATTTTCTACCTACCCCTCTACATGATACACCTGTCACAGAACATAGTTTTCCAGTCCAAGTGCTATTTTGTGATGCCTTTTCAATACGTATTTGGTCTGTGATCTGCAAGACTTCTGATTTTGTAGAAGTGGTACTTCGCTTAGGAGGAAGGAGTTTCTAAGAAGCAAGCCAAAATAGTTGAACTTCATGAAAAAAAAAATGTAATAAGTACAGTACTTCATATTTTTTAATAAAAACATGCATTGAAAATATTCTTAGCAATTTTACTTGTGAATATTGGATTTGTTCGATGTTCTTTGGTCAGAATAGCTGTGCTTTTTAATAACAGGTAGATAAATACTTATCGCTTTCAGATTAAGATAATGAGGAAATTAAATTTTCCTCTGTAGACCTTGTTTTGTATTTTAAATAACTGCCTCCATAGCTTATATATATATTTAATATTTTTTTTAACCTGCCCATTTAATTTCAGTAGAACACACAAGTGACTGTGAGTTTGGAAGAGCTGATACCCCGCCTCTGGGACTGGAAAGACCGAAGCTCAGCAGGGCTTTTGTCTTTCCCCAGCTTTAATGGACACATGCAGCGACAGGCTAGGAGGGGGCCATAAGAATCTCAAACTTCTTCCCCACAAGTGAGCTGAGACTTTCTCAAGCTCCTGCAGAGCAGGAGAGATCAGCCCATTGGACCTGAACCTGATGCCCCTGACCTTAGGGCAGCGGCAGCATCTTGACTGTTGCCTGGGAGGAGGCAGGAGATGCTGCTCCTCTGTATTAAGCATCTCCTACCAAAGCTGCTTTCACAGCCTTGGTGTGGTGATGGCTGGAGGCTGGACCCCAGTGCTTTGTTTTTTGTGACACGACAAACACACCTCTATTTTCCACTTAAACCATGGAGCCATTGGAACCGTGCTACAGAACCGGCTGCTCTATGCTTTATGCCCAGCACCTTCTCTTCTTTAGAGCTGCCTCTTCTAACCAAGCTGCTGACACATCTGTGGTTATTTCGGGTCTAAAATCTTTCTAACTTCAGCCTGATATCTATTTTATTATCTTAATTTTACCTCATTGGCCAGCTGGCTGATTTAGGAGGAGAGCAGGGAACCCACTGGGATGTGTGCAGGGAGGGGGGGTTGTCTTTAAAACAATGAAGTTTGGTGGCTTTTCTGTTTACAGTCAGCAGATCAACATTTAGAAAATACACCTTTAAACCACTTGTTTGCACTTTGTTCATGATGAAATATTGGAAAATCCAAGGTGTTTTTTTCAGATTTTGAGTATCCCTTGTATCCTCTGCCTTCAGTTATGAGGATTGCTAGTGCCTAGTTTCAAGAACTCTTCAGTTGATTTTCATTGTGTTGAGAGAAAAAAAAAAATGAAGGTCAGGTCTGTTTGTGAACTTCTTCCATTTCAGCTAGGAAATGAAATAAGTTTTGACAGTGATACTGATATGATTTCTCCTCAGCACAGAAGTGTGTGTGGTAATTTATGCTTTATCATTTGTGATAGTCTTCTCACTTGGTTTTCTTTCTTTCTTTCTTTTTTAAATAGTTTGAGGGGCTGTATTTTTCTCGAACGTAATTAGCATTACACTGCACAGAGAACACTATTCTTGATCTGTTTGCTCTTCCGTGCTGTCAGGTTTGATGTTCAAATGTATTAGTTTATGAATAGAATCAATCGAATAAACAAAGGGCAACAACTTCTGTCTGTTCAGTTCTGCCATGGCAGAGACGCTTTCAAAATTTATCTGAGAACTTATCTTTCTTGCTGAGCAGCCACAGCAAAATAGAAAATGCCCTTGTATTTGCCTTGTTTTAAAAAGCCGTGCATACATTTCAGCAGCCGATTGTATTTCAGATTCCAAAGTACTGATTGTTACTTTTCATTTCTCTGATAAAAAGCAAAATAAAATTACGGAGCCCCTCAGTTCTTGAAATGAGTAAACATTTCTCATATAAGTCCAGCAGCTCATTTTCAATTAATTATAATAACGTAACCATGACAAAGCAATGGTAATTCTCATGAAAATTTTATTTGGATCTGCTGAAAGTGGAGGTGCATCACTTACTGCAGACCACCATGATGACAGCAGCGTATGTCTCAGAAATCTATCAAGGTAGTTATTTTATTGGTTATTATGGTTTTCAGACACTTACAGTATGTCCCCAAAATGTGCTTCTCTTGTGCTACTGCAGCCCACTCCTTCCTGGCACGGGCTCTCTCCCCCACCTCAGTCCTTCCCCACAAACAAGCCAAAAATCTTCTCGATGTCAAAACCCGCACTTGAAATTGGTGGTGTTTGGTGAATGTGGAGATGACTGAATGGAAACCCAGGCTTTTCATCCATTGGAGGGTGGAGACCAAGGCAAAAAATGCTCAAATATATGGATATTTAGTACTAAGTCCAGTGTCTAAAATTGTGTTTTAGGACTTCGCCCCAAAAGGACTCTGCGCTTGGTGCTGTGGACGGCAGAAGAGCAGGGAGGAGTAGGCGCCGAGCAATACTATCAGTTGCATAAGGTAATTGATGTCTTCGGATGATTTGCTTGACAGCAGTTTTCTCCCTGATACGTGACTTGCATATTATTTTTGTCAAAATGTTCAGCTTAATATCTAGCCGACAATAGTGATTCCAGTTCTGCCTGTAATTACATTTTCTGGTTTTAATCATAAATGTAAACTTCATTTTAAATTTAACAGAAAGCAATGTGACCACACATATACTTGTTCTGCTTGACCTAAGATACCTGTCACAAAGCTGTTCTGAAACAGATATTTCATGATGATATCTGCCATAGCTTTCAAACATAGCTAACTTTCTGAGAATGAATGACAAATGGTCCACATATGTTGGCAATATAAATAAATTTTGTTTGCCTTATATGTTTCTGCTTCATTGCATTTTCCCATAATATTTTCCAATGTAAAACATAAAATAATACAAAGAAAAATCTTCGCTATCTTATCTTAATAGCTTGTAATCTAAAATACCCTTTGCCAATCATTATTTCGATAGGATCTGGAACATTTAAAGTGGTTGATCTCTGATGATGCAAGGAACACACAAACTCTGTGACTGGTTATCAGTATAAAAATATTGTGTATTGTCACATCTGTCTCTCCTGCCAAGAACTGTCTTTTCAAAGTACATCATGACATAAAGGGAAGTTGCATAAAACTATTTTGGAGATAAGTCTTTGGAATATGTGGTGGTTGTTTTTTTTTTTTTTTTCCCCCAGAAAAAACTGTACTGTACCTGTATAACTAAGCTAAACTAGTTATCTTCTATGCTTTTTCCTAATTCAGTATTCTTGCTCTCAGCAATGGTTAATATATCCAAGGCAGAGACAAGATGAATGCAGAAGCATTTAGGAAGTCACTTGCTGTACCATAGCATGAAAGCAGACTTTCAACCAGTTCCTAAGAGTATGTTTTTAATGGTAAGCAACCTATCAGGACAAATAAATGAAAAATTCAGTTTGAATCAAATTCATTGTCATGAACAAAACTAAATCAATTTGCATCTGCAACAGAGTTGTCAGAGATGGCATTACAGCAGTTATGCTTTTCTGGCTAATTGATGAGCAGTCAGTTATTTCCCACTAACTTGTTCAACATTTACTAAGAAGTGCATTTAACTACCCATATATAATGTAGTTCCTCCTTATATAATTTGGAAAATTATAGGGGTAGCTCTGCTCTGTCATTTGGAAGAGGTGCCTAAGAGCTTGCTTTCTCAGCTTCAGGGAGGTGACAGGTTGCAATTTAGTATGTATTAAGGACTCTGGTACTCTGGTGTTCGGCAGGATTAAACTAGAATGAGATGTTCTGGAATATGTAGCACAGGAAAGAGGTGCTTCTTATGTACAGAAGTGCATTTTGGAGGAGCTGGAGGGATGCTCTGTGCCCAGTGCATGCTGCTCATGAGAAAAGTATCATCCCCTCTGTAGATTTCCATGTTGGAAAATAAGCTCTGTCCTATGCTGCTGTTGTCAGCAACACATGGAACTGTCTCGTGCCCGTCTCATCTTCTGCCAAAATGTCTGCATTTCACTGTTGTCTCTAGGATTTCTATTCCAGAAGTAATATCAAAAGGCAGGCTTAAGAATCAAAAAGGGAAATATAAAGCAGTCCGGGTGTTGTTTGAAAGACATTTGGTTACTTTGCTTTTAAAAAAAAATTGAGACAAAGTTGTGTCTCAATTTTTGTTCTGCTGATGCGATTCCATCTGGATGTTGTGTTCTGCAAAGAAAGCCCAGTCTAACTTCACAAGAATTTGTAATTTACATGGCGAATTTAAGCAGAAATTACATCCGTCTGTTGTTTGTTGTTCTTGTTTCCCTCCTACCATGCGATCTGGCATAATTGTGAATTGATACGACTATAGGACATCACATTACTCATAATAACAAAATATAGCAGATTAATACTGTACATTATATTTAGCATGAAAAATAACCTAACCTTTTAATTATTTACTTGCACAAATCTCTGGCAATTAGGATAGTACGGCACAAACATTGCTCGCTGATGGTAATGAGTACAAGTTAACTAAGAGTGGTATTTAAAGATGCCTTGTTAAATGAAAGATGGCCTGTATGACTCATCTACATAGCTGGGCTTATTATGACTTTAGTTCGCTACAAACAACTAGAAATATGAATGCAGTAATTCAGCACAGACAGACACAGATTTAGTTGACATTGTAAATTACCTCCTCATGTCAGTGGAAATGTGGCAAGGGAGAAGAAATGAAGACAATATAATACTGGACAAGTACAAATACTCTAACTTTTGTAGCTTATTTATTATTTCTTTCAATTTAATTTCAGGTCTTTCTTCCTCATCTGTCATTGTAGGTTGACACTGCTAGAAAGTGGATAAGTTACTGCAGAAATAAGTGAGATTGCAGCAGCATAGTGGTTTTACTATGACACCAATAATTAACTCATATCCCTATATAATAGCATTATTTATATCACTCAAGTATTTCTGTAGAGCCCAGTATTATAGTTTCTGATTATTAAAACTAGAGGTAAGGTATATTGGCTCTTCAGAGCTTTGTGATAATGTTAAGGTCTACTGTATTGGGTTGACCAAAAGCTCATTCTAGTGCTGTCTCCTGTTTCTGATAGCATCCAGTAAATCAATGCTTAGGAAAAAGCATATTTGCCCAGCTGCAGTTGGAATAAACTGAGACATAGATTACTCATGCAACTGTGCTTTCATTTTATCACATATATATCTGGAGAGCATAGAATCATAGAATTGCCTAGGTTGGAAGGGATCTTTCAGATCATGTAGTCCAGCTATCAACCTCACACTGACAAAAACCATCATCTGTTGTTTCCTGTGTATGTTTTTTCTAAGACATTTCCAAAAGTTGAAAGCCAAGTATCGTCCAGCAGTTTCAGTGCCTCATTAGTGCAGAGATACCTGCCACCCACCCACTAGTACATCACAGAGCACCTGCAGAAGCTTCCCAGGGGAATCACCAGCATCTTTGCTCCCAAAGGAGATACCTGCTGAAGTGCTCACTGCTTTGAACTGTTAGCCAATAACCAGATTTAATCCCAGACTGAAAAAAAAAGGAAAAGAAAAAAAGCCTGATTTTTTCTCTACAGTAAAGACTCTTCATGAAGGGTAATGAAATTAAAGGATCTAAGTGTAAAACAGGCTCCAGGTCTTGGGGTTTGACATTACATCTGAAGTCTTTGCCCAGTGCTTAGTGTTGTGTGACCCAGCTGCCGAGTAGACCTCTTACATACAGACAGTACAGTAAATAACTTCAAAAATGTGAAACATTGCAACTGCTTCTTTTCTTTCCAAGTCGAACGGAAGGAGCAGGGGGAACACAGTTTAGTAATTCTGTACTACCTCGTGTTGCAGCTATTTGGTACATTCAGGTTCTCATACAACATCTGAACCTGAGTGCTCTCCAGTAAGGTTTTTAAGTTTTTTGTGTTTTTACTCTTATACCATGGGACAAAGAAGAATATGTAATGAAATGGCTGTCCTCCTTTCGTTGCTTCAGACTAGTTTCCAAGAAAGATCTGTATACCCTGAAGACAAGGTTACAGTTATTTACCTAACTGAATTAAGGGACTATGAATGGCTGATAATATTTATTTTGGATTATAAGTATTGCATACAAGCTCCTGGGAAAGCAAATACATTTTGTAATTAAACTGCTGAGATCCTAGGCCACATTCAGATTTACTTTAGTAACTCTGTTGTGGTCATTGAAGGCATTAATGTGTTATGAATTGAATTCAGAATGCATTAGAGAAAGCATTCTTGAAATATTTCTGCATGCTTTTATTCATATCTTAATGGTGTTTACAGTACTCACCTAAATTTCTGGTGCAAATGCCATACACTGTTTTAACATTTTAGGAAAGGTTTAACTTTATGAAAAATATCACCAGTGTGTACTATGGTTTCCTTTCTGTGTTTATTACCAAGAAGATTTGATATTTTGCCCAAACTGGGTCTGCATGAAAACAGGACTTCCTGAAAAGCTGGTATCTCGCTGTTGCTAATTTAAGTACTCTCTGTTAATGCTCACGTAGAGGTTTCTACTGTGATTTGCTAATGAGTTACTTTCTCTAAGAAGTAAATATCAAAAAGATCTTGTCACTTTCAGGTGAAATAATTCTTCCCAGGAAAATATTGGTTCCTCAAAACCATAGTTTTCGTAAAACTCATCTATTTCAACATTCCGTTTTATTTCCCAAGGTACCAAGTACACTGGTGAAACGTGAGACATAGGTTTGTGTCTGATTTGAACCAAAGACATCAAGGACTTTAATGTGGGTTCTTTTATCCCAGGAAAATATGTCAACCATTTGCCTATTAACTGTTCTTAGGAAATATTCTCGTAATCAAAAGTTTTGTAAAATTACTGCTTGTTGTTTTCACCACTGCTGTCCTGTTGATCCCTTTCATTGAGAAATGAAAGAAATGCATAAAAAGAGAAATGTTCTGTTAAAAAACTACAAAAAGAGACTAATTGCACTGTATTCTCCGGAATCACAGTTAACAACCAGAAGTGTCCTTGATTGCATTAAGCAGACTAAAGCAAGCTTCATTATACAATTATATTTTACACCATTTCTAGGTCAGTAGGAAATCATAATTCTTAATATTCAAGTGTCACAGTCCTAATGAAAGCTGCAGAGGAAACCAGATTTTACTAAAAGACAAAGACCATTTGATTCTTTACACTGCCTGAAACCAGAAGGGTCGACCAGAATCAGCCATTTCAGTGTGTCTGTGTGTGGCAAATTTCATATACGTCAAGCGTCAGGAGAACTTTTGTCTTTGTAGTTTTCCTCCCTTTTCTTTCCCTCAGGAAAGTCGCAGGGCTGCTGTGTGAAATGTTGTGAACTGGTGGAGACATCTTCTGAGGATGGCTGCTCTGCTTTCATACTCCAGGCAGATGCACCCAGCCACCGGTCCTCGGTGCTTTGGGACGTTCTGCTGTAAGAAAGCTGGGCTCCTTGTATCCAAGCTGCCTG